TAACTCGATCCCCCGTGGCCCCCCCCCCCCCCTCCTATTTTTAACAGAATGTAGATTTTTATTTTTTTGTAGGCCCCCAACACCAGCCGCCATTTTTGCCTAGGCGAGATTGACATGTCCTCCAAAAAATGTGCTATGACCACCTAAAATTGCTATTGAATGACATTGGTGGTCATTAAAATGGACTATTGCTGAACACTACAGCCTGGTGTGCTGGTGACATCCTTTTTCTACTTATGACATGTCCTGTTCGCACAGCCTCCTAGGATATCCACTAGGGATGTCCCGATACCGATGCTAGCATCGGAATCGGGCCCGATACAGGGCATTTTGACAAGTACTTGTACTTGTCAAAATGCCCCCGATGCCTAGCGCCGAAGCTTGCGCTGTTTTTAAAAAATTTTTTTACCGTCCGTGGGGTCCTTTTTACCGTCCTCTGGGCAGGCTGGAGGAGCGTCGCGCCACTGCTGTGGGCGGCGCTCCAGGTGGGGTCCTAATGTGGTTGGCCAGCGACTGCCCAGATGACTCCGCCTGTAGCTCCGCCCACAACAGTGACGCGACGCTCAGCGCCGCCGACGTCCTCGAAAAGGAAAAAGAAAGCATTCGGCACCTCGTGAGGCACCTCCATTGAACAGGCAAGAGTGAGTAAGGGCCTGTGCTGGGATGGCAAAGAAGACAGTCAGTAGTTGCTCACGATAAGGGGTCCTCACTGTCCCTATGTGTACGCACCATGGGTATCAGTACCGTCAAGCACCCAGGGCACATGCCCACATCCCTGGGTGCTCAGGCTGCTTCCACCCACTGTTGATCTGTAGAAGTGGGTACAGAGGAGAGCTGGAGTGAGGGGGGGCAGAAGTGCTGAGATGTGGACGGGGATTTAGAGATGAGCTGTGGCTGGGTGGTGAAGAGGTGAGGTGTGAAAGGTAAGCTGTGGCGTGGGGGAGCAGAGTTTAGCTGTGGACAGGGGGTCTAGTGGTAAGCTGTGAATGAGGGGGCAAAGGTGAGCTCTGAATGAGGGTTACAGAGTTTAGCTGTGGACATGGAGTTCAGAGGTGAGTCAGATGGTTTTTTTAAAAATGTCACCTGTCCCTTTAAGAAAAAGTATCGGTAATTGGTATCGGCAAGTACATGAGGGTCAGTACTTGTACTTGTACTTGGTCTTAAAAAAGTGGCATCGGGACATCCCTAATATCCACACCACGTATCTCAGGAGGCTTCAGAAGTAGGGACACCGAGCTGCCGGCTGGGCAGAACTGCACTTGTCATTGGAACCCAGAGGAGGCAGTCAGCTCCCAGTGGCCAAGGAGCACCAAGATGGCAGCGTGGGACCCGGGTTGAGCCATGGCGGGATGGTACATGCGCTAAGCAGGCGAGTATATGATTTGAAGACAACACTGACACTTAATGACACTTTAATGACCAAGTAATTAACATGCGACAAGTACAGCAGTCGGTCTCTGTATATTGCACATAAATGTCATTTCTTTCATCGTCCATTAGCAGACGGGTAAGAACATTACCTCCTGGTATTTCGGTCAGCTCATTTAATGGCGGCACTGACTCCAGCTTGTCCGCGTACTCCTTCCCAGCTTGGCGCTGCGCGTACCGCGCCTCAATCTCTTTCTTGGTCCTGGGGATTCGGCATTTGAAAATACAGCACAGCGTGATGACTTCCAGGGGGACAAGACAAAGAAGAAAACATGACATCAGTTATTATACTGTCAGCCAGGCCGTGAAACCGAAACACAAACAACCATTAATTACATTATTTGACTTGCAAACGCCTCTCTGCACAGCGCGCCTCGGAAAATATGCTTAATTGGTTCCCTTTATAAGCACACGGCTCAAAATGAATGTATTAAGAAGCCCTTTGTCTGGTAACAACACAAATAACATGTATCCCGGGCGCAGTTCTCACAAACAAATGTGTCAGATATGAAATATGGAGTACAATGGAAGAGACTTTATTTAGGAATGAATATTGTAAATAAAAGGAGCCCCGATAGGCTAAGCTCTGGGGTACAGACAAGGCCAGCCACCCTGCACAAGGAGAGCAAACAGCAGTGAGCGGTGTTTATTACAGGAGGGGGCGGAGACAAGACCAGTCACCCTGCACAAGGAGAGAGAGAGCAGCAGTGAGCGATCTTTATTACAGGAGGGGGCGGAGACAAGACCAGTCACCCTGTACAAGGAGAGAGAGAGCAGCAGTGACCGGTCTTTATTACAGGAGGGGGCGGAGACCAGACCAGTCACCCTGCACAAGGATAGAGGGCAGCAGTGACCGGTCTTTATTACAGGAGGGGGCGGAGGCAAGACCAGTCACCCTGCTCAACGAGAGCGAGTAGCAGTGAGCGGTCTTTATTACAAAAGGGGGCGGAAACAAGACCAGTCACCCTGCACAAGGAGAGCAAACAGAAGTGAGCGGTCTTTATTACAGGAGGGGGCGGAGACCAGACCAGTCACCCTGCACAAGGATAGAGGGCAGCAGTGAGCGGTCTTTACTACAGGAGGGGGCAGAGACAAGACCAATCACTCTGCACAAGGAGAGAGAGCAGCAGTGAGCGGTCTTTACTACAGGAAGCTCCAAGTCTCACACTGGATTACTGCACAGATCTGGAAGAAATACACAAAGCTCACCGAGATTCAAGGAAGGATACACATGACTCTCGTATAAGGACGATATCTACTCATCCCGGAATTCAGCTTTAAATTTAGACGACAATCTGGGGCAGCCTAATGAGCGTTGTCTGGGTATAGAGTTACAGAAACCGATTACCATTCGCGTCCCGGCCGACGATAAAATTAACAGAGCGAGGTGGACTCCGAGCCAGACAAAGACCACAATCAGCAACGCTGCGTGTTTTCATATCGCCAATTACATAGTCATCGGCAGAGTGAATGAAAGTCAGAGCGTTTCCCGCACTACATACGGCGGCGAGCCATGAATCTGCGTCTTTATATGGTGCGGGGAAATATATATCTTCATTCTGTGTTATCCCCCTAAATGCTGCGTGATTAACAGCAGAATACCACCAGCCCGCCATCTGCATGTCAAGCTGCAAATCACTTTGACGGGGTTACCACATACAAAATAGATTTTTGTAAAGAGAACCTGTCACATCGGAAAACATTGAAAAAAACAAACATTCAAGACCTTTCCCTGCAACCCGGCAAAACCCTAATCGTTACATTGTAACATTGCTCATGTGGGAGCATCATAAACCTCATCGTTTTAGTAACATTGGGTTTCTTCAATTACCATTAATTGAACCGAAGCAAATTAAAAATGCCACTTTCCCTCCCAGACTGCTAGCCAGTTATTTTGGGGGAGGAGAGGACAGGAGGCCCTAGAGACAAGCTGTAGGGGCCCCCATAATTTCTGATGATCCACTGTTGTCACCATCAGCAAACTCCTCTGAGGGGATGCTCTTGCTTGTGCTGATGTCATTGACCTTATATGGCCACACAGCCATATAAGGTCAATGTCTTTTACCAAATATAGGCATGTGACCATATAAGGGCAATGACATCACTGCATATCGCCCTTTTGCTTAGGGGAATTGGTGGGAATTCCCCACCAACACTCAACCGGAGCTCATCCCTATTAACCACAATCTCATTTTTGCACTGCGTCTTATTTCTGATGGGGGTTGCCACTCCGGGGAATCCAAGGGCCACAACCTGGGAGCCATCCTCAAAGTCCATCACTCCTAGTAGTGTGCAATGGTGGATACCAAACAGCTCCTTAAAGGAGAACTATGAGGGGAGTGCTTTTCACTCACCTCATAGTTCTAGCCGACCTGTGACAATGAGACTGTCACAGGTCGACTCCGTAGATCGGGAAGTGAGCGAACACATACCGGCGCTCGCTCACTTCTCGATCCTGTCACGGATCTCTTCCACAGCATGGAAATCCTCCGCCCACGCTGTGTAACCTGTCATGGACAGAGTGCTGGATGTTAATTACAGGCAGTGCTGCATCCGGCTTTTGACAGGTAGTTAGGTTACACAGCAGCGGGCCTTCCCACTGTTCATGTAACCTAACTAGTGAGGCCGGAGCTGTCACAGCCTCTACTCTGTGTTAAAGGCGTGAGCTCTGTGGATGGTTTGGACCAATGGCAAAGCGCCATTGGTCCAAGCTGTCCAATCCAAAAAAGAAAAGCAAGGGAGGGACAGGGAGGCTCCTCCCTGTCTCCTTCCTCCCTCAAACTAGCTTGGTGACTGGGTGGAGGGGGGGCTTCAGTGGGTTGGGGGTGGGGCTTTGATGGGCTGGGGTTTAGGC